GGAGGCTTTAATAATAGGGGGAAGCGATTATCTGTGAACCCCTCGACAAGCAGACCTCGAACTGGAAGGACACCCTTCTCTGCCGAAGGATTTGACCCGCCTGCAGGGACTCCCAGGAAGTGGGAGAGAGGTTGCTTCGGCGGGAAAGGGTGTGGGATCAAAGGTTATCGGTCCATTGCTTTGATAACCAACAGATTTATGCTAAGCAATCTTCGGGAGGTATCAGGCTTCAGGCGATTATACATACATCCATCCATGCATACATACATACATGCATACGGACTTACATACATGCTTACATGCATACATGCATGCATACATACATACATACATACATGCATGCATACATACATACATGCATACATACATACTCACACACTCACTTACAAATATGCACAAACTCATGCATACACAAACGAGCATACATTACATTACATTACATTACATTACATTACATTACATTACATTACATTACATTACATTACATTACATTACATTACATTACATTACATTACATTGCAATAATCATACATACATGCAGACATACATATGCGTACATACATACATACATACATACATACATACATACATACATACATACATACCTACATACCTACATACCTTTTCGTACAAACATACATACATACATACATACATACATACATACATACATACATACAACTGTGTGTATATATATACACAAATATATACATAAGTGCGTACATGCATGCATGTAGCCCCAGTTACAATGTATGTGTATGTATGTATGGTTACAGACGCAATCTAGATGCATACACACCTACACACATTCCTACACGCATACACACCTACATACATGCATGCATATATAAATACAGACATGCATGCATGCATACATACATACATGCCTGCATGCATGCATAACCTAACATAGCCTCACATAACCTAACAAAGCAGTATGTAAAACATCATAGCGTAACATAACACAGCTCAACACAACAACATATCATATCATGTCATATCATACCCTGCCATATCATACAATATCAGTTCATATCGTACCATGCCATACAATAGAATAGCAATACATGTTACATGCGGACATGACATAGAATATCATGTCATCTCACCTCATATTGCCTTCAAGACATAGCATGTCAGTGCGTCCTTTCCTATCCTATCACATCATGCCAGATCACAGCGTAACGTAGTCAAACATGTTCAACCCGAAACATATAATATACTAATAATAATGGCAATGTGGATGACATCTTGTTAGTTTCAACAAACACGTATCATGCCAGATCATACCATTCAATTTCATGCCGGTACATTTTATTTCATACAACCTACCATACCACACCATACCCTATCATGACAAAACCTTCATATCTAATCGTAACACATAAGAAGCTACAGACATACCATTTCATACAGACATGCATGCCGGCATTGTTGTGCGCGTCCGTGTTATAATATATATATATACATATGTATATATATATATATATACATGTGTATATATATATATATATTACACACACATACATACATACATACATACATGCATACATACATACATCCATGCATGCGTGCGTGCGTGCGTGGGTGCGTGCATGCATGCATTGGCATTCACATGATTTCAAACAATAGTACGCAATTGAAAACGGGCTGTAGGGAAGCTTCTGTACACAGAATGTGGAGCGGCCCTGGGGTATTGGATAGTGTTGGGGTGGAGTTGGGCTAGGCTGTAGAGGTTGCTGCTGAACCATGAAACCTCAAAGTACCAGAGCCTACAGCAATAAAACTCAGCTTGCTCTTCATAGTCCATTAGGCGTCGATTCTGGATTGAGGGTTTGGCCGGCCTCCGCGGGCTATGTAGACCCCCCTGACTAAACTTCCTTGATTTTGTTTCAACCGAATGACCATGCATGATGCTGCGCAATACTTCATTACTTACCTACTGACTGACTAACTTACTGAAGGAGTTTCTGAATTGCGAACTTTCATGAATTCTTGCTGGCATGCGTACATACATGCATCCACCCAATCGATGCAAGAGTTTGGATACATACGTAGACATACCTGTATATATATATATATACACATACGTGCCTACACACATGTGCAGATGTGTCTATAATACTTATACACACTTCTGCTTGTGTGTAGTATGTACACGATGTAAGCGCACGTCTGTCTGTACGTCTCATGTTGCATGGTGAGGCATGGGAACCCTCCTCGTGCAGGCCCGAGGACACAATCGAGAACCAAATCTGCCAGACTTCAGCTTGGAGCCCCAACTCCTCGTAAACCCTCGGCTCACGTCGCGAGCCAGGTATAAGTGCGGAATCCCAAAGTCCGGGGCTTACACAGGGACTTCCCGCACACCTCTACAACAACTTGATAACAGAACTCAATTCGCAAGATCTCTCCGGTGCAAGGCCTCAATCACCTTCTGTACATCTTCGTGGCTGGCAGATCCTCGCGTCGTTCTCTTACAGCAAGGCTTTGCGCAGGGCACCTAACTTAAGAGCTTAGGGGAACCCTAATTGGGGACCTCACGAGTCGGGGACCCAAAACCCTGCAAAAAGCGCAGCAGAATCAAAGAGGAGGGGGTCAGTCAAAGGGCGCTGGCTCAGCCCCTTCATAAAACACGAATCTTGACAGAACATACACACACACACACAGACTGCAGCCACAACACAATCCGAAAACGAATGCCCAGATGCGCAGAACGAGAGCTTGAGCTTCAGACACATTTCAGGACTTAAGAAAGTTCGGGTTTCAGACTGGCCCGAGTCTTGAGGGTTTGAGGTTCACAGTTCAGGATCCGGCTAAGCCCCAAGATGCCAAAAGCTCCTTTCGTGGAGTGCGAAAGGAGGGCCACACGCGGATTTTCGCTGACAAGCCTCGAGCGCTTCGTGGGGCTCTGTGAGTTTGGGGGTTCCAATTTTCAAGGTCCTGTAGATTATACTTATCAGGCTAGGATGATTTGGGAATGACCAATCTGGGTGCCTACTAAAACAAGGTTAAGGCTAAGGCTGAGGACTCCTCACATTGACAATGCCAACTTTCTTAGCAGATGCTCAGACATGCACCATGTGTGGTCGCTGAGCCGATCATTGTTGTACTGATGAGACTACGAACCCTGCGAACAGTTTCGAGATTTACCAGCTTGTACTCTCAAGTTTTTTAAATCAAAGCCTTTTTTGCCTGCAAGCCCCTCTGAAATAACCAAAAGGCTAGGTGGGAAGGGCTGACGGTCGAGACAACTCGCTGAGGGGCACCGACCTAGAACGGGAAGCATGCAGGGCACTGGCGCGAAAAATCCCCGTGCGCAGCCCCAATGGCCCTTGCGAAGAGAGCAGTTTGTCCTGCTGCCGCCGGGGCCCAGACTTCCGATGGCACTCTGCTGTTGCTACAGCAATGTCCTTCTTCGGCGTTTTTTGGACGTCGTTTGGTTTTCTGCTTGCGGGATCTTTGGCACACGCTGGCTTTCAGCAAACTTCTTCACACCATGTCCGCCAGCTCGAGGTAGTAGATGTCAGGTCTGCTAAAGGTTCCACACTACATGTCTGGAGATACCGATCCCAGCTGTTGCTTAAACAACATGGTGGATGTTGAAGTCTACATTGCATGATTGTCATGTATATGGTCCGCTTCGACAAACCTACAGGCTTCTACTGCTCTCTTGACAAGGTTCTACTACTGCTCTAAAGTCCACCTAGGACCTAGATGGTGGCGGATTCCGGCCACGTTCGTGATACCGAGCCCTCTCTGAGGAGGTTTCTGCCTTCAGGATCTGGGATCTTAAGGCAAGCCGGCGGAGTATGGTATCCTCGCAATTTATGACTGTAGTTTGGGGTTTGGTAGTGCCTACTCCTTTCTTGCGCTTCCAGCGCCGTTCTGGAGGATGCTGACTCACTAGTGCAAGCGCCGCGCTACTGTGCCAAGGGCCTGCTGGCCAGCCGTGATGGCTCTTTGTGTCTACCCACCAGCCAGGATGGTGCAATTACAACATAAGAATAATGATAATAATGATCGTATTTTGGACCTTGGACCCACAGGGCGTTGCGAAGGATTCCAGGGCACTGGGGTCTACAACTTTCCAAGTCTTGATATTGCTGCACCGGGCATATGGGGTTTGGGGTTAACGCCTCTTTGGCACGAGGATGGCATCGCTTTACTCTTCCATCCCGTGATGTGGGTGGTCCTATCTTATAGAGTCCGTTCATGGTACCGACTGTACCAGAATGCTCCACAAGAAGGGCATCTTACAGGTAGCAAAACCCAGAACAGTCCGCGTGACCTCTCAATGATATCCTGAAACTCTGGCGTTCAAGATTCCAGACTCCCAGCTTCGAACGCCGGCTGTCGAATCCGTGAAGCTACCAGGATAGGAGGTTGAAAACCAAAACTCATCAGCCCCGCACCTCTGGTCCAGTCTCGCTAGGCTGGGGATTCTTCTGGCACCTATCCTATTGCTGATGCACAAGATCCTGCGTTGTGCATAACGAGGAATACGACAGATTCATCCCCGAAGCTTATGCTACTGCTACGTGAGGTGGTGCATCTCCTAACAACCTCAACCGCTTGCTTCCCCCAACGCCCTGCAGACTGAAGTCTTCCCAAGGCCCCAGTTTGCGACAAGGAGCGGCCAGCTGTTCGGCGGAGGGGTTCCTCTGCTGGTTCTTATGGCGCTGGGGGCCGAGGGGCCTCTGCAGCTTCAAAGCTTAGGCTGGTAATGCATAGTTTCGCTAGAGGGCTTTGCCGCTTAAACCTTTTGATTAGAAGAAGTCTCGGCGGGATGGCCACATTACACTGTCCTCGTTTTGCCGAATCTTGCCCAATTTAAATCTATTCCACGAAGCGCGTGCCAAGATTGCAAGGCCCCGAAAGGCGCGAAGTGTTGATCATCTACTGGAATCGACGGCACAGGACCTACCCGCGAATCATTCTTGGGGGAGATTCTAATGTACTATATAATCAGATACAACTGGTATGCTTGACTTCAAATGGAGCATCTCAGGAACCGCGACCCCCCATCCATGAGCAAGGAATGTGGAATAAGTTGGCCCTCGCGTCTTGCACCTTGTTTCTCCCGGGTGGTGCGGGGGGTGGGGGGGGAGGATTCAGGCGTTGAAAGCATCTGCATCTGTATGCCCCAAGAAAGTCTGTGTCCTAGAACTTCTCATACCGGCCCAGTATCTGTAGGGCAGGGCTACCGGATGCAGTAAGGAGCCGCACCAACACTAAGATCTCCGAGGGTGGTGGGTTTTGGAATCGGGGTTCGGGCAAGACACTGCACAGCCGCACAGTCGGCAAAGGACAGCACCTGTCAGAAATCAGCGAAAAAATGCGGCTGAAGGATGTCATTGCAAAGGTATTGGCCGAATAAGCTCTGCCAAGCTTCAAGGATCCTGACGGCAACTGCTAGGCCACAACCCAACAACCCAAACCCTTCCTGCTGCAAACGCGCAACTCTGCCAAGTATAGGGGGTTGGGCCAACGGTCGGCAAAGAACATTCAGCACATGTTCTTTCTTCTCTAGGGATACAGCCTTGGCGCTGGGACAAGCATTGTGGTTCGAGGGTGACGAGTTGACGAGCTGAGGTCTCGGGTTTAGGGTTGAAGGAAGGGGCGTAGTAGCGTAGTGCTTGAAGAGGCTTGGAATTTTCATGTTTTGGATGAAGGTTTTGGTCGCGATTACAAACTGCGTTTCAACTTGGTGGATGGCTTTATTAATTTGAGCGATCCCAAAGCGTGATGGACCAGTTATTACGTCAACTTCTGGTGTAATCACGACCAGAAAGGCTATCATAATTGTCATCATGGTCATCATCAACAACAACAGCTTCAACAGCGCGATTTTTAGAAATATAAAAGCAAGCATCATTATTATTCATCTTATCACCATGGCCAGCATCATCATCACCACCATCACCATGACACTTGCAAGCATCGTATGCAAAGGCAGCAGCAGCAACAACAAACAAAAACAGGAGGACAACAATACACAAGCTTGCCAACCCGATTATGCAAACACTTCCCGCGACGCCCCCTAAGACCGGAATATCTGGCGCCTTGTCCGCAAACACCATTAGCCTCGGCACATCTTCGATGGCCCATCGAGAAATTTGCAGGCTCAGAGTTTGCAGCTAAAGATCTGCAGAACTTACAAGCTCAGGCTTTTGGATCTCTCCTGTGCTCGCTTGTAGATAGAGCTTTACACACAAAGCCGGCACCACCAGTCGAGTGTTGAATTGTGGTGAGGATCCGTTTCTGGTTAGTGTTTGGATGTGGTTCAAAGTTGAACGAGAATTATCCCCGAGACTAGAAACGGTGAGATTCAATCTGCGTGCAACTTTGATCGCCCAGGCGCATAGTCGTGGATACGGTGCGCAGGCCCTCCTGTCGAAATTTTGCGGGAAACCAATCCCAAGAGCCCTGGAACGAAAACCGTGTCCCTCTCGACCTAGACCCCGAGTTCGAAAGGATTCTGCTTACAAGGCCTGTACACCTCAACAAAACTCTACAACAATCCCTTCAAAATCTGTTAGACACCCCGAGGCCTAAAGCGTGGGCCCTCAACATCAAGCCCAAAATCCAACCCTAAACCCAGAAGCACAAGCCCAAGGCCAAAAGCTTGAAAATCTACACTTGCCTGCGGTCCGATGACATGGATGGCAGCACGTAGAACATCCGCAGTGGATGCAATGGAACCTGACCGGCAGTGCTGCAATTCAAAGAGTGGGGTTTGGGCCTGGTTCTGGGCTTCAGCCTATCCGCCGCACCCCTGGAAAATCAGAACGGAAAACCCCAAACCTCAAGACTCTCAACTCCACCACCTGGACAACTCCGCCCCAAGGGCCCATTCCCAACAGAGGCCTCCACTAGTGGATCGGGTTTTGGCGGGCTGTTCTCGTGTAAGCAAATAAGGCAGTTCAACATACCAAATTTGTAGCTTGATCCGCCTGCGCGCATGCAAAGGAACCGAGCGACTGGTTAGTGGGTACAACGCATTTAGTTCTCAAGCTCTGTGTTTGGGGCTTGGAGGGATGCAGGTTCGTAGTCGTAGCTATAGGGTGTGCCTAGTGTCAGACTATCTGCAGGACTCGACAAGGCACCTGCTACCACACAGTCTGCCGCTCCCGCGTGGAGCAGCGTGGCGGCGTAGTACAATGGCGCTTTGGCCAACCAGGCCTTCGAGTGACGAGGCCAACTCCGAGTCCGAAACACTCTTGACGAATCGGTCCCGATGTTTAGGAGCTGCAGACGCAGCTAGGACATGCAAAATGTTACTCGTTCGTGGAACAAAAGGGGTCTGGTTTGGGGTGCTCACCCGCGAACTGCAGCAACTCAGCCAAATGCCCAGAATATTAACGCCTGGTGCCCTTTCGATTTTGGAAGATCGAGATGGGGAGGAAGCACAGAGATTCCCACCCTCAACCTTCCACTGGCCGTCTTTTTCGTTTGCAGAGATTCTGACTGCGCAAAGTAAAGAAAACAACTGTTCCCCCTCCCCCTCCGGCCCATGCCCCCTGGCCCACGCTCTGAACTTGGTAATGGGCTGTGATGTGGAGACCATGCACTCTTCACCTGCGGACCGAGGTCACGGTGCAGTGTTTTTTTGTTCAACCGTAGAACTTGCCCTCGCCCCTGCTGGGCATGAAGTCCGGCAAAAAGCTCAGCGTTTGGGTTTTTGAGTCTTTGAGGTCGTGAGTCGTGTTGGAGAATTGTTCAGTGGGGTAGCAGGTCATATTTTCTGGTGCCAGATGTTGTTGTCACGTCTTTGGTTTTTGGCTTCGCCAATGCCACAAAAATACGACGCCTTACAATGTCCGCTACTTTGCGTTTTACCCCACCTGAAGTGAGCACTCCAAAGGCCTGAACCCTAAATGCCAAGCTAGAAACCCGAAAACCACAGCAATTCGCTTCAGAAACCCAGTCAGAAGCCCCAAACTTTGGGGTGAGCCATTATTTTGTGGATTGAGACATAATCATATATACATTCATTGCGAGACGTAGTGCAGCTTGTTTAGTTTCACTTAGGTGATGTTCAGTGTGTTAGGTTAGCAACAATCATTATGCCAGCACAGACCTCAAACAGTGACTCAGTGACAGAGCTCGCCGACAACGATTACGACCAAGACCAGGAGAACAACGACGACCGGGACCACCACGACGATTGCTACGGCCAGGACGACACCACGAGGCGACCATGAGGAGACCACCGAGGAGACATCCAAGAGACCTCCAGGAGACCAGCAAATTTCCGGAGACCTCCGAGAGACCACCGGGAGAGCAGCAGGAGACAACGGGCAACCACCCAAGCACTTTCGGGGCTCACGGCCAAAATCCTTTCTTTCCCCAGTACCTGCGGATTCAGAAGCACGGCAAAAGCTCTTTCCCCGAAGTACTGACGGGGTTCAGGAGCGTCCACGAAAAACTCGATGCTGAAAGTGACCGGTGTAGAGGAACTTGCGGTGAACTTGGCTTTCCGCTGACGCGGCCACATGGATCCTGTGTGAATACTGTAACAGGACGCGAGTGCGAAGTATTCACCCCCGCCACTGCCAAGGCACTGTCCCATGAAACGTTTTTTTCGGCTCACAAACTCTGCTTAATACCAATGTAGGAATCCCATATTTACGTTGTAAAGCCTCGCGTCGTCCCCTCGGTGATGGGCTTCAGGTATTTAGATTATTTAGGATGTTGGGATGATTAACGGTTCATTTCTTTACTTTTCAAGATGGCATGAACATGTAAGATAGTTTGGGGAGTTTCCTGGGTTTAGGTCGTCACCGACGAAAGGTCAACTTCTATGGCTGCTGCTGTGGATCCGAAACATGCCGAATCTAGCCGAAAGACAATTACAAGCAGATTGCGTTTATCATGTGGCAACTTACCAACACCCGAAATTGGAGCCCCTGCATGATTCATTGCAGCCCACACGTTCAGGCCTTGGCTTCTTCCGGTGGGACTCCCTGGCCTCGATGCGTACGGCTTAGGCTCTAGAGCTTCCGGGTTTGACGTCTGAACGTTCCAGTTTGGGTTAATCCGACAGTAATTGATTATTATGACCTCCATGTGCGATCTGAGCTGCGAGAGAGGCGTGGTTGTAATGTAGCAGCGAACGATTCCAAGCCTCAAGTGATTGCTCAACCAGGGTGGAAAGGAATGACAGCAAATAGCAGCTGCAATCGAAGCAAAGACCGCAGAATGGGACGAGTGCTATATAGGTCCCCTCAAAGGCCGCCCTTCGCGCGCGCGAGGCTTCGCACCGGGTTGGCTTCACCCTACTTCACGTGGCTTCGCGTGTGGCTTCACGTGGCTTCGCATGGCTTCGCGCGGCTTCGCGCGCATTCGCGGGCTTCGTGGGTTTCGCGCAGCTTGGCGCGGCGGCTTCGCGGGGCTATGTGGCTTCGCGTGTGGCTTCGCGCGGCTTCACGAGGCTTAATTATCGATTTGCGCGGCGTCGTGCGCGCTTCGTGGGCTTCGCACGGCTTTGCACGGCTTCGCGTGGCTTTGCGTGGCTTCATGCGGCTTCGCGCGCTTTCGCGCGGGCTTCACGCGCATTCGCGCGGGCTTCGCGCGCATCGTGGGTTTGCGCGGCTTCGTGCGGCTTCGCGGGCTTTGCGACTTTGCGCGGCTTCGCGCTTATCTCTTTGGCTTCGCGCGGCTGTCCGCATGGCTTGGCGCGCCTGTCCGCGCGGCCCGGGTGGCGTGGCCCTGCAAGGTTTCGCGCGGATTCTTCGCGCGGCTTCATCCCCTGTTTTTAGAGGGGCGCGACGTGGAATTTGCCGGATGCATGATTGAACGCGTGGCTTATAGGATATTCTGCAGTATTCGGACGTGACGGTCCCATTCGACTGCAAGATATGCATGTTGTACGCGAAGGCGTGCTGCGTAGGGTATCTATAAGTATAGGGTAACTCAGAAGTATTATATAGTCTTCAGAGCATGTAGCAAAAAAACACCAGCAGAACGAATTGCAACAAATTATACGGCACAAGTGGAACTGGTGCGGCACAACCCGTCACACCCAGCCGGGGTTTCGCAGCTGGGTCCGGCTCAGCATAGTTATAGCATGGTATAGCGATGGAGTGCGGGTTACACGCGAGGAGAGCACCTCGCCCAAACACGCACAGACAATGACAGGATTTCGTCGTAGCTGCACGGCCAGTCGACATCCCCTGGATCAGAGCTATAGCTCGGGCCGAATGGTGTCGTCGGGCTAGGAGACATCTGCTAGCTGGGCAACACAGATTCCGCATCGACTGGGACCGGAGCTTGGCAGCGAGAAAGGGGTGAGGGAAGTGTTCCACTGCGGAGAAGAGGCATCTGGAGAGAGGCCCAGGATGTCCTCGACTAACAACTCCCAAACATTTTGCACGACCAGTCTGCGGCAGTCCCACGATGAGCGCCTGAAGCTTGAAACCACCCGGTTCTGAGTGGCTTCGCTCCCATTCTGCAGAATCTCTGCGCGACTGCGAAGATTCTCTGTCTCAGCTGCAGCATGTTGCTCCATGGCGAGCCGCAGCAAAACGTGTCCTATTCTGCATGCAAAACTCTCAAGCTGCTTCTTCCGTTATATCTGAGCCGAAAACGCGGCAGGTGCATGAACTTTTGGCACAACACGGTACCGCTTACGAAGCCAAACGGTTCAACCAGTCCTTCAAATGGCGGGCTGTCTGCCAATGCATGGCAATGAAAGACATGTCGAGCTGCAAAGTTTCTCGGCGGCACCGTCTGTCACCACCGCAGCAGCTTGCATGTTAATTACTTCGAGAGTTACATGCTGGTCTATAGGTGTTAAACAAGTGTCGATAATTCTGACTGGCAAAAGCCTAAAGAGCAGGTCCTCCAAATGAGTGCCGGGACCCAGACTCAGAGCGGCGATTGCCAATATTATCTGCATTCACACCCAAGTCTATGCATTGCCGGACACCTCACCTAGCCCAGACCTGTGAAATCGAAGGTGCCACTGCTGGGTGAGACCCGGCAGCAAAACACGGAAGTCAACCCAAGCTGCTTCGGCCCGGCCGAGCCAAGAGAGGTCCAAACGGAGAATGGCAGCACGTGTGGTGGAGGTTTTGCTTAGAGCTGAGAGCGTCACGTCACGCGCGAACGAAAGCCACGAGTTTGCAGGCGCTGGACATGAAGCTGCATCATGCGATGCGCACACACACGCTCGCGAGAACGACAGCTGCTGCGACGAAAGTCGGGTGGTACCTCGGCTGCCGCGGCAAGATGCCGTTTGTTCTTGACGTTGCCGCAAACCATGGAACCAGCCTAGCGCAAGAGGCAGTTCCCCGCCGTGCACGATCACGATTGAACAACAGCAGGTTAATGGAAGGCTGCAGGGAAGCGACCACGCGCAGCACCGTCTTGAACCACAACTACGCAACAGCCAGCATGACACGCTGCCCACGTTATCCCCGCGACCTAAGTAGGTCGCAGGGAAACGAACAGTTGGTGTCAGCCTGCTGATCAATCGATGGAAGGCGTTCTACGAAGTCTTCGCAACAACATGCAGGCAGCAGGTTGGCAGTAAAGGAATTAAACGTGTGCCTCCTCAGGCGCGGTGGGCAGTCGGAAAGGGCCTCCGTCATTGGATGCGGGAACCCTGAAAAGCCCTGAGCCCCAAGCGCTAACACAGAAAAGATTAGAGACTCTGGCATCCTCCCGGCTGCTATGATCTGCAAACTTTCGCAGCTTGGGTGACGGGGTCCGGGGTTTTAGGTTTGCAGGGTTTTAAGTTGGATAGTTGAGCGCCCGAAACAGAAGCCAGCTGGAAGGCATGTGCAACACGACCGCAAATCTACAAAGCCTCCGAACCTGATCTTGTGTGCTTGTCTTTGGGCACCGGGGCTTAGAAGCCCCGAACCCTCATCGTCAACTCCTCGAGGTACACCACGACTGAGACATTGAAGCCGTTTGCGGACCCTCTCGACTTTAAACACCCGCTCAAGACCCCATAACGAGCTCATAAAGAACCGCTTGATGCCCGGTAAAGTCCCGAAAAAAAAACCGCGCGGACGGATGCGACATCCACCCTAAGCATAAGGCGCCGAAGGCGGCAATTCCACCGCACCACAAGGTCCGAGTGAGGCTTCAGAAGAAGAATTCAGAACACCCTCAGACAGGCTCGCGAAAGCTGCAGAGGCTTGCGACAAGCTTGCGAGAGCCACATATATGTCTGACCAGCGGACGCCCCAAAAAACAGACCAAGCCGATTTCCAACGGAAAATGGTTTGGACATCTTCAATCTCAAACCACTCCGAGACAGCCAGGGCAACGCCGGCAGAAGCGCGTGACCAAAGGGTGCCCCCCGAAAATAGTTTGCACATCTTCAACATCAAACCGTTCCAAAGCAAGGACAGCAGAGCCATGCAGCACGTTCGGAAATCGATTCAGGTGGGGGACCCTGCCCGGCGCAGTAAGTCCGCCACAAGGTCCGAATGAGGTTTCAGAGGAAGAATTCCGAACACCCGCAGAGAGGAGGCTGCAGAGGCTTGCACCAACCCAAGGCCGGCAGAACCATCCAGCTCGCTCGGAAGTCGAATGAGGTTCGAAGCTATCCCCAAACCTCGGGCCCAAGAAATTTACCATTACCAAGCCCAAAACAAATTTAGACCTGAACGTCTAGAGCTTACGCTAACAAGCGATAATTAAGGGCGCCACCAAAAACACACAAGCACAAACAGAGACATCAACACTCACGTTGCCCCGTCAGAATGGAGGAATGTGTCGATGCAGCGATTCTAGCGAAGGGTCCTAGCACCTGTGATAAGGTTCATGTTGGAAGGATGGAGATGTAACTTCTGCCAGAACACCATTGCTCCGTCCGTCGCACGTCAACCGTGCCTAGCAGCCGAGGTTCAATACCCGACTCAACAACCTGACAACACCCATAAGTTTCCTACGGCCTTGGTCGAACTATGAGAAATCTTGTTCTGCCTTTTTACAGCAGTCTCTGCGCCAGGTGACGGTCGTCGCGGCATGGGCTGAGAACCTCCACGCCAGCAGGAATGTCGGAGGCCTCAGAAGTCGAGGTAGTTTCATCTTGGGCACAGGGCTAGATGGATGGGATTTTCGAGCTGGGCCTATGAATAGAAGCTTGGCAGTTCTGACCTGTCTTGGCTGTGGACCTTCTCTTGATTTCCCCGTCACCAAGCTGAAGGGTCCCTGTGCCATCGTTCTTCGCCTGAACGCCCCCGCTCCGTTGCGGCTTACATACAGCTCGCATCTGCGAGCGATGCCCGGGCCGGAAGACTCTTGCAGCCTCTACCTTGTCAAGCCAACTTCTTTTCCACTGTTAGCCGAAGGAAGTTGACGCCACTCCCCTAGGCCCTAGGGGCTGAAGCTCCGCTCTCCAGCTTCTGTGAAGCCCAGGAGCCCGAAGCCTCTAGAACCTTCGATACGCCCTGCCCCCAAAACTCTAAGCCGTATAAAGCCTTAACGCAAACATGCAACATGTAAACCAGGCCTTCAAGTCACCCGTGTCGACCAGAGTGGGGACCGCCAACTTCTCCTTGAGGGTTTATGCTTTAGCTTCTTCGGCTGAGTGTTTCAATATTTGGGGATTTGAGACTGGAAGCCTGTTTAGGTCAGAACAACGAATAAAGACTCATGACATCTGTCAACGACAGTATATGATACCACACAACTACACACAACTACAATATAGGATCACACAGACGACAGATGTGGAATCCATCCCGAAATATGCAATGCTGTGCATGGTGAAGATGCTGCTACCCCCATACAGTCTCCTTGGCCAGTATGCGCGCACATTCGAGGACGCGGGGGTCCTGCGGCCCGGAAGTGGGAGCCAACAAGGGACTCTCAGGAGTTCGGCTTGCAGGAGTTTGGATGGCTGGGGTTTGGAGATTGAGGTCCTAAACTACTGGTCGGGGCGATGCTTGTGTTCACAGATGCACGTCCGGGAGTCCAGTTCATGCTCTCGGAAAGCCGAAATCCCACAGGAAAGCCAAACACAAACCCTGAAAAACTGCAGAGGCTCAAAAGGCAGCGATGTCCTGAGCTTCAGGCAGCAGCACGCGCGCGAGGACCTGGCATGCAGCGTTCCGACCCCCGAAACCTTCCGGCTTGAAGTCTTCAATGATGGAGCCGCTTCAAACGATGACGCCACGGTCGACCCTGGTGTAGCTTGCGCTTATCCGAAGCCTAAGAGCATTGTGAGGCCTCAGCAGAAAATGCTGAAAATTCTACTCCTCCCGGCCCCACAATCAATGAGTGAATCAGCGAAAAGAGCATCATGACCTCAAGCCACAACAGATCCACGTAAACCAAACAGCCACCAGACACCTTTCTGGACGCTGCTTTGTCGCGCACTTGCTGGGTGAAGGAGGTGCTGAAGCCCCGCACCTGCTCACCGCTCTTGTACCGGTCCCACCTGTAGTTTCACTTCTTCAGGGCTGGAGTTGCCTGTCGGCTTCATTCTTCGACTTAGGCTTTCGCGGTTTGTCAGAATGACAACAAGTTTGTGAAATACACAGGCGAAAGACCCAGACTTCACAAGCGTCTGCATGGTTTCTTAGTACTGTAACGTGTATTTCAGGCTGCACGCTGGTAGGATGTCGCAGACAGAGGCTTTTTGCTCTACCGACCGTGGGACTGAAAAGGAGATCTGAGCAGACTGTCCGCAAAAACACCAACATGCTGGCTACAAGCCCCACCTCCACCTCCCATCCCCTCCCCCCTAATGCCGGCAGGCACTGCCGGCGGGTGGAAGGCACCACCACCCTAAGGTACCCGCTCGATTCTGCGAAAAGCACCGCCAATCCCCCAAAGGCAAAGGATCAGGCTCTGCACCCAATCAGCGTTCGCGCTGGCAAAACGATCAAAATCATACGGCACCTCCCAATCCGCACTGGCCAACTGCGGCTGGAATCACAGCACATCAAAACCACCCATCCCTCATTGTCATGTCTCATGTAGACGCTCGATATCGCAAACACCCAGTCAAGACACAAATCGGTAGCATCACAGCACATCAAGATCAGCCATTCCACATGTATTTGCTCGATTTCACCAGCATCCGCTTGGCAGTGCTTTGGTTCCGGGTGCTCGGCGGTTGCCGCAAGTCACTGCCTAAGCCGCCGGGGCGAGTAACCTTGAAAAACAGCTGTATAAAGCATCTTCATCCCCAAAGTTAAGCTACAAGTACCTACGGTACCGCCATGCATCAGCGTACACTTGGCAAACGGCCTTCACCAGCCATTTGGCTGCACAAGCAGTTTGGGTGTCGCGCTGGCCAGAGAACGCATCCCGGATCGTTTATGTTTTCGACGTGTTTACACGGTGATTCGAGCACGGTCACCGGATCAGATTCCCCATGTTGTTTGTTCAGGTACAAGCTACACTCCGAAAATCAGATGATACCTTCGAGCACATGTGATACGAAATCGTACATATCTTCAAGAAGGCATCGTTCAACCAGACGCAAATTTGGGATGGTAAAGGTAAAGCTGCTTGAGCATGCTCAGTGCAATATACTTTGCGGGCCTCCCCACAAAAACACCCATCCTCACCAGGGTGCCATGCCAGCCCCGAAATCGGGCATCTGCATATGAATGGCTGATCTTAATGTGCTGTGGTGCTGCCCATCTGCGTCTTTAGTGGGTGCGCGTGAAATCGAGCCCGTGCATGTGGAACGGCTGTTTGTTCACGTGCATTTCCATACGCCAATACATACACATATACATATACCTATACACAGACTTATCCACATATCTATACATATATGTATACATATACATAGACATGTCGTTGCACTATATATATATATATACACATCTACATATACATACATACATACATACATACATACATACATACATACATACATATATATGTATATATATATACATGCACGTTCATATCCAAATACATGCACATACGCACGCACAAACACGTATAAGTCATATGGCTATGTATACATGTGTTTGTACATACATGTACATGTACATTTACAACCTGTATGTACGCATAGACATGTACATACACGCACACGTATACACACACACATATATATATATACACACACATTCGCATATATGCATATGCATATGCGAAACATATACACCCCAATACATACAGACGTAATACATACATACATACTTACTTACTTACATACATTACATTACATTGCATTGCATTACATTACATTGCATTACATTACATTACATTACATTACATTACACTACATTACATTACATTACATTACATTACATTACATTGCATTACATTACATTACATTATACTACCTTACATTATA